TAGGGTGACCACCCGTCCTCTATTACAGAGGATTGTCCTCTATTTGGATATTTTTTGAATAGTCTACTCTTAAGATTTGCTATGAAAACCAACGTTAAAACTTGTGTCCTCTATTTGTCATAATTTTTAGTGTATGTTTTCCCTATTGTCCTCTAAAACTCTTTGTTATGTCCTCTTTTACTAAAATGGAAGTTGGTCACCCTAGTTGTGGTGACCACTACTTCCCCGTCTCTGTCCTTAGTCTCTAACACACAGACATATCCCACACGTGTTTAACATTAAACTCAGAGGACTTATACCCCACAACAACACCAGCTAAAGATATTTGCATACAATGTATAGTTAAATACATAACATACCGGTACGACAGAACGCACGGCCCCTGTTGTAAGCCATCGTTCATTTTGCTCCCATTTTTCCGATGAAAAACATTGGATTTCAATAGAAAAACAATTTTTTTCTCTCGTATACAAGAAGTGAGTGAAATGTTAAGTCATTTTACGGACACAGTTTGAAAGAGAGAGAGAGAGAGAGACAGAGAGAGAGAGAAAGAGAGAGAGAGAGAGAGAGAGAGAGAGAGAGAGAGTCTGTTGCCTATTATAAAAGGATCAGATCTAAGGCCAAGGATTTAGTGACCAATTTTTAGTCAAGTAATTTTTTATAACACTTTTTGGTATGACTTTTGTTGGTGTGTTTGTAAGGGAGGGACGGGTAGTGGTGTTGTCAATAGGATTTGTGTTCAGAAATGCACTCGTATTCAAACAACTCTCTCCTTTTAAATGTGATGAATATATTTGTATTGAGAGAGAGAGAGAGAGAGAGAGAGAGTAGACTTATTTAAGTGTTAGTAATAAAACGTTTGCAGTGAGAGCACCGGTAGATCTTTTTTTCTGTCCCGATGAACTTCACCTATAGCTGTGAGGTTTACGGCTCGTTTTACTTTTAAAATGTTTAATGGTTATTTTTAATATATGGAACTAAATTGAGGGGAGAGAGAGAGAGAGAGAGAGAGAGAGAGACTGGTTGTGCACACAATAAATATGTCAACAATTGTGTTGATATAGTAATCAATTTTGTTGTCGCAAAACTACTGACAGCAAAGACTTGTCGCTAAGATTTTGCCCGAAATTTATTTATTGAGAAAATACTTTTGCAAAAAAGTTTTTATTTGAATAACTGTGAGAAAGTGAAAATATATGCAGATATAAGTCGTGCAATACATTTGCCATTACGAGTGAGCGCACCGGTCGTATGGGTGGCAATGGTGCTAACATTGTATGATAAAATGATGGTGATTTTTTATATAACAAAACTATTAACATTTTAGAATTCATTTAATTGCAAAATACTAGATTAGCTTTATTATTGAACAAGACAATTTTTGCCTAGGGTTGACTACTTGCATATCATAAGTTATCTAGTTATTTACCCTACTGACTATGAATTGAAAAATATACTAACTTTCATACATAGAAACCAAGATTTTATTGGACTCAGACAGTGTTTTGTATGCAAACTAGTCTATGGGATACGAGCCGTAAACCTCACAGCTATAGGTGAAGTTCATCGGGACAGAAAAAAAGATCTACCGGTGCTCTCACTGCAAACGTTTTATTACTAACACTTAAATAAGTCTACTCTCTCTCTCTCTCTCTCTTTCTCTCCCCTCAATTTAGTTCCATATATTAAAAATAACCATTAAACATTTTAAAAGTAAATATTTTCAAAAAATTATGCAATTTTATTTGTAATGAAATATATATTCTTAACATAAGGATCTTAAGTATCATATTCTCACAATTTCCGTCACAAACAACACTCTTAAGCAATAATCGAATTAAATATTTAATTACTAGAAATATTTCATAATTACCAACAGTTATCATGGCGTCTATTGTGGATACCTTATGTGATTTAATTAAAAAAAACCATCCGGACTCATACTCACGAGTTATTTGCTAATAAATTTAATTATAAAAATTTTCCACCAAAAATTATTGTAAAATATAAAGTGAAATTGATAGGACTTTATGATTGCCAAATTATTACTTTAATAGTTTGGTCCAACCCATAGCGCGTGGATGTAGTGTACACCTGGGCACACCACAACTTATTTGGGTATATAAGAACGGCTACAATACTAGTTTGCAGTTATAAATCGTAAAGTATAAGATTGACCATATCTAAAATGCTTTCAGCTAAAATCCTAGTAATTGTGGCCGTGTTGGCCATCATGACCTATACGGTGGTGGCCGATCCAATTGGTATGTATTCCTGACTAATAACTAAGATATAATGTACATTAATGTTTGATTATGATTGCACCCACAGCCGAACCCGAACCTAAGCCAAACCCTAAGCCAAACGATAGGACACACGATTATGGTGCGCACGCCAGGGGCAATCCCTCTGCCAATTCCAGAGCCGATCCAAGTGCCGGGTGGCGGAAATGAGCGACAATGCAGTCAAAGGCAATGTCAACGGCAAAACCTAATTGACAAAAAGTTACTTTTATACATGTTATACATTTTTATAAATATTTTGCCAATTGTCACAATAAAACAATACAATTTTAATATATTGCTAATTATAATTTACAATAAATCACAATTTGACCTTAAGAATTTTATAACATTAGGGTGGGGAAGGTACATTGTATACAGTTGAATGTCTGGCATTTTGATAAAGATTATATAACAGTGTTTATTAATTAACTGGTATTGTTTAAGGATATGGGATAAATATCTAAATATGATATAGGCGATATAATGGCCAACACATGCAAATAATTGTCTGATTAAATAATAAATCTAATTTAGTATTTGTTTTTAAATTATTTTTATAAAATATAACATCACTTAACATTTTATAAATATTATTGTGTTAAGAACTGTATTTCTCTATATTGAAAGTGATTGAATTTTTATTTTCATTGAAAGTATGACTTTAAAGAACATCTAATGTTTTAAAATAAGTGTTGAATTTTATGCAATAAAATGCATTCGTTATGACAGGTGTCGCGAGTGATGGCAATAGTTATACAGAAATATTTTTTAAAAAATTATTAATTATTGATTTAAAAGTAGTGGGAAAATAGTTAGTTAATTAATTATGCAATAAAATGAAAACATTTAATAACAGAAATACTGTTATAAATGAGAATTTGAATGAAGTGCCAAATCTGGTGACCACTTCACTCACTGACAGTCCAAATATGAACAGTACTTATGGCGTGAATAACAGTAAGGATTCCGTTGACAACACCGGCAATGGATTGACTACAACTACAACACACCTCTGCCCACACCATTCGGTGAGCTCTCACACCCCTATCACTAACCATGTTATTTAAAACTAATCTCATATATTAATTGAAAATAAACTTTTCATAACAAATCTATATTAAAACTTAAAATAAATTGTTATATCAATTTGTGTGCAGAGAAAGTGTCGTCTGAGCCGCTATTTGGGTGTCCTATTGTTGATCGCATTATTGGCCATAAGTATGGCGTTTGTGGCGTTCGCTATATTTTACGACGAGATCATTGATAGTGAGAAAGAGATAAAATGAAACAAAACATGTTCACAATTCATATGCATAACAATATTAACAATAATTTAGGTAAAGTATCCAAAGTACACAGTTTTGCGGACATTATTACCGATCAAAAGTCAAGCGCACTGTCGCCCAAACGGGGCATCACTTTCACTGATTATATGTCGGCTGAATTAAGTTACCGTCTTTTTAATGGCACCTGGATTTCCAGCCATGAATTACTTCATTACAACTCTCACAACAATTTATGCATTTTTAATGTATTGACTTTGACTACAGATATTATCATACAAAACAAAACCATAGTTAGTATGCATTCACTCAATGATCACATTATATTTAATAAGTGATAAAATATTAATTTAATCATTTGTCACAATAGCAACGCTTACGACTAAAGGGGCTCTCACTATCTCCGGATCGCAAATATTTCCTCTTTAAACAAGAGTTTAAATTAATTTATAGCTATATTTCGGTCGGAAAGTATAGGATTTACTCAATTAATGACAGGTTTGTTAAATATTGAAAGAGAGAGAGAGAGAGTTAACGACACCGGACAGACAGAGCGCACCGTCTCATCACTCCATCACTCGCTTATTAAAAATGCATAAATTGTTGTGAGAGAGAGAGAGAGAGAGAGAGAGAGAGAGAGAGGGAGATTTGTATCATTATTTATATACTGTACATTATAAATTCATAAATTTCAATAGCGCTAATATATTACCAAATTATATACCGAATAGTAATTTATTTAAAATTATTAGCAATTAAAATGTTAGATAATAAAAATGAATAATTTTATATAAATAAAGCAATTTATTGGCAGCACTTGTGCCCACACAACAGCCAAACGACACGTATATAACTTATGCCGATTGGGGAACAATTGGGTCGCAAATGATATTTGTCCACAAAAATGACATTTACTATAAATCCGATGCAAACGCAGCGCCGATAAGACTTACAAATACGGGCAAAGATATGGTTATATATAACGGAATACCCGATTGGCTGTACAGACGAGAGATATACTCAAACTCGCCGAAAATGTTTTGGTTATCACCGGTGGGAACAAAGTTGGTCTACACCACCATCGATGACAGCGGTGTCGATTTAATGACCTGGCCATTCTATAGCACAGGCAAATTGGCCCAGGGTTATCACAATCAATACCCTAAAATTGAAATGGTCAGGTACCCGAAAGTGGGCCGACCCAACCCTACGATTGCTCTTTATTACATCGATTTGACTCAATTGCGTGATTATAACGACTCGATCGGTAAACTGGCCGTACATTTAAAGCCACCCAAAGTTATCACAGACTATGGGTTTGTATTGATTAAAACCGAGTCAAATATATTTACAAAGTTTGCATTATTTATTAATAGAGATCATTATATGACAACATTAAAGTGGGCCGATGATCATGTTGTTTGTGCGAATTGGGTGAACCGTGCTCAAAACGTGTCGGTCATGACCTGCTATAGTAGTCAAACCAATTGGGAGCCGATTTCTGTACATTTAATAATCATTTGTGTCATAAAAACTAATGATAAACTAAATACTAATTTTAATTGTTAACAGAATTTTAAATTACAATCGACTAACGGATGGATAGACTATCACACGGCTCCTGTCGTCACATTAGACGGCGAGTCATATCTTATAAAAGTACCCAAAATGAGTGACAACGGGAGGGATGTGTTTCCACACATCGCCAAAGTGTCCGTTTCGGTCAGTCATTTAATACTAGTCTTGTAATGCAATACACAATACAAATACAATCCTTATATCTATCAAATAGTCGGCCGAACCATCATTTTTAACGTCCGGTGTATTTGCAGTAAAAGATATACTAAACGTAAACACAGAAAGTGATAAAATGTAAGAAAACAAAAACTCGGTTTACAATTGTCTAACAATAGCCATATATATTATGGGCAAAATTGACAGCTATTTTACGGCAACGTTTCCTTCAAATCCGGGAGAAAAGCATTTAATGAGCGCTCCGTTAACCCAATCGTCGGCGGCGGCGAAGACAGAGCCCGTGTGTCACACGTGTCTTATCAACACATATAACACCGATAAGGATAACACATGTCTGGTCTCTGAGGCCACGTTCAGCAAAGACGCCAACCATTATATCCATCACTGTTTGGGACCTAATATTCCCCGATCGGTGATCAGGCGGACAGTCGACGACCGCTTACTTTATACAATCGAAGACAATAAACGCCTGAATAATAAACTCAAAGACTTATCGGTTCCCAAAACCATTTTCATGAAGGTTCCGGTCGGACGCTATCGTATGTAACTTATTGTTTACTTATGGAAAATCATGTTTAATTAATAATTAATAATTAGTTATATATTGACTACATATTACGCAAACAGAGATTGATGTACAGCTTTTTGTGCCGCGATATTTTGATAGCGAATCAAAACAAAAATATCCGTTAGTTTTCAACGTTTACGGCGGACCCGGAGCTGAGAGCGAATCAGTTTCGCATAAATACTTTTACAATCAATTCGGCGCTTATTTGGTCTCAAATAAAAGCGTAATCTATGCCTATCTGGACAGCAGAGGTGCCCCCAATCGCGGCCAACAATTCATGTTTGAAATCTATCGCCGATTCGGTACCGTTGAGGTCGAAGACACGATAGCTGTGGCCCGGTTTGTACGGCTCCGGACATTATTTGCAAACATAATTTTAATACTTGAATTTGTAATTGTACTAGTTATTTCCGCGATAAAGTGCCATATGTCGATTCTAACTCTATAGCCATATGGGGCTGGTCTTATGGTGGATATTTGACCATAAAGGTAGTGTTGGCTAATGCCACAAATATTCTTGACCTTTTACCCTCAGGGTTAAAAATATCTAACCTTGACTTTGACCAGTGTTAATCCAGGTTAACCTTTTAACCCATTGCTGTTATAACAACAAGTGGTAAAAATAACCATAAATATTCATAATAGGTAAAACCTATAAAATTGTAATTACAATTGAATTAATTTGATTTAAATTGCATGTAAATAAATAAACCTCAAAAGGTTAACCTGGGTCAAAAACTAGGTCAAACAGATTTTGACTTTTTACTTTAACCTTCTAAAAAATTGACTTTGACCTTAGGGTTAACCCTTATAAAAGGTTAACCCTGTGGTTAATTTGCCAACACTACACAAAGGTATTGCAAGACGATTACAGCGACCCTGTATTCAGTTGTGGTGTAGCGGTGGCGCCGGCGACCGATTGGATGTATACGGGTTTGTATTCATTAATATTATAATTGTTTGTCTTAAGAAATAATTAGATTAACAATGAAATCAAATAACTATTTAATATAATAAACAAATGTAAAGACTCTGTATATACTGAACGACATATGGGTTTCCCCACACCTGAAGACAATCTGCAAAACTATCGCTTGTCGTCGACATTGGATAACGTGAAGCGTTTGAATGGCAAACACTTTTTGCTTGTATTCGGCACCGCAGACGGTATGCAAACACACTATATATGCAACTTTTATTTTTACTATTTTTTAAAAAATTAATAATTCTGTAACTTATATGCAATGATCCATACAATCATTGGCAGTCATTACACACAACATTCAAGCGATGATGCTTTTGAAGGCTATGAATGAGGCGAATGTGAAATACCAAACACAGGTATATCCCGATCAGAGACACGGTTTGCAGCAATCAATGGCACACATGTATACACGAATGACCGACTTCTTTGACCAGTGTTTCAATCATAACATCAAACATAAATGATTTGCTATTTTCTCATTATTAATGAGTTTTATATTTTTTTACTCTCATATAATCAACAAGTTTTATAAATTATTAATAAATAGTTCACACTTTAATTATAAGTAAAATAACTTTTTAATGAAATTTTTTAAGAGATATGGTAAACAATGAAATGATTGAAAGTATAGAGTATTATATAATTTGAATTGAATTTGAATTAATACTTGAATACAGCACTTAATTATTTAATTTTTTTGCACACAATTAACCCTTGATATTGAAATGAGATTACACTGAATAGTGGTTTATATTACACAATATAAAACATTTATATTAAACAAGGATCACACAGCGATGCTATACGTTAACCACAATTCGGGAAATTCATTAAAGATTTTTAATTTTTCAATGCTATTGTTATAATACTTTCACTATTGTTATTTTGAGAATTTTAAATGTTTTTGACAACAATTAGTTAGATTCATTTAGTATATCTCCATAGAAAAAGCATTATCTCATTGAAATAACATTATATTCATAGACTTAGCATTACCTATGTTATCCCTATGCCATAGACTTATCATTAGTTCCATAGAGTTACCATTGTCCATAGATTTAGCATTACACATGTTATCCCTGTCATAGACTTAGCATTACCCATGTTATTTCTATGTAACCATGTTATTTCTATGTCATAGACTTAACATTACCCATAGACTTAGCATTACCCATGTTAAAGTATAGCGATAGACTTATGCTGTAATCCCATGTTAAATCCCATAGAGCGGGGGGAGGGGGAGGGGCAGCCGAACGATCCTATAAACCACATTATTCATACTGAATTGTGGTTAAAAATGTGAACCCTATCGATTAACAATATGATTAGCCTTAGTCCCATAGACTTAACACACACAATGCGTAATAAATCGATGTGAGAGGGCATGTGGTCACCTTAATAGCATATATTTAAGCAGTATTTGTGACGCTTTAAAATAAAATTTAATATACAAGTAGTTTAAATTAAAATTTTATTCTTTTATTGTGGCAATTATTAAAATATTTGTTTAAAAAATCTAACATATTTTACTGGAAAATATGTGTCAATTATGTTTTGCGTTGGAATGTATGGGTCATTATAGCCACGTCAAGGACTTGGATCAGGGTTGGGGGCGCCAATGAAATCGGCACTCGCATGTGGACCAGGTCCTCCTTTATATAGCCAAGCTTTGGGCTCAGGTGCTGGCTTTGGGTCAGCCAATGGCGCCGGATCGGGTTCAGCTATACCATGTGCAATAATAATTAAATATTAACGTAAATTATATAAGTTATGATACATACGATTTGGACCGGCCACCACGGTACAAGTCACGATGGACAATACGGCCACAATTACTAAAATAGTTGCCGAGCGCATTTGTAGTTATCGTTATTTTTATGCTTTACAATTTATAACTACAATGTTGTTTTATAACCGTTCTTAATATTATATAGCCAAATAATTTGCCCGTATGTCGACCCAGGTGGTTTTGATTTGGATAAAATTATTTACAGTAATTATTTTCTATTATATAGTACTGTACTATCATTTTCATGGTATATTAATTAACAATAATTTAATATTAAAACTAATTTGTTTTATATTGCAAGTACAATATAATTGTGAAAATAGCTCCAGTTTAATTGTAAATTATATTGTACCTGAGCAATTTTTATAATGTTCTCCTATCACTCCTTCGGGCCCCGTATTATACCATTTTAATAGCAATATTATTTTTATTACATTTTATGCCTAATTCTTCGTATCAAAAGTAAAAGCAATTGATATGTAAATTGCGAACACATTTGCGGCACACAATTGAGATGAGCCCAAAGTCTCAGGTGTTGTGATTATTGTGGCCAACCATTGCCTTTCATTATACAAATGAAATGAAAAAATAGTTTTTTTTATAATTTTTTAAAATCTAATGTAAAATAAGTGTTTGTTGAAAATTAATTATCAAGTCTCTCTCTCTCTCTCTCTCTCTCTCTCTCTCTCCTCCCCTCAATTAACAATCATATATTAAAAATAACAATTGACAATTTTAAAAGTAAAAATTTGCAAAAATTATGCAATTGTATTTGTAACAAAATACAGGGTGTGTAAACCATTTCTGACGATTTTACAGCTTTTACATTATTTTTATTTTATTCATGTTATAGAATATTTTTCTTAACAGTAATTCGTGGAATTTATAAGCAGATAATTCATGTTTAATTTGGTATAATTTATATAATAATTGATAATCCCTTGGTCTATCAGGAATAATTTTATTGTAAAAATATCAAATTTAAAATATTATTGATTTTGTGACCTCATCTATTTCTTGAAACAGTAAGAGTAATTAGATAATACTAATTCAGCAGATTAACCATTATATGTAATCTGTTAATTCATTATAATATTTAATTTTTCATAACCATTCTTTCCTCTGTAATTTTATTACTATGTTAACTTTTTCCATAGGATTACATTGAAAAATTCACAAAAATATAAATTGTTCAACAAAGTTAGAATATTCTGGTTTAAATTATAAATATATAAGAAAACTTAAATACTAAGTACGCAAATATAAAGTACATCTCTTAATTAATTGAAAACAGTCGAGTTTATTAAAATCGGTTTACAAATGCCTGATATACACATGTTTAAGATAACCTACTCTTGTAATGCTTTTCAATGCAAATATGCACTTATCAAAAATGGTTTACACAGTCTGTACATTGATTTAATATTGTTTATGTAAAAAGATATAAAATATTATAAGTAGTGTTATTATAATATTAGTAATTATAATAAAAATATAATATCAATATAGATAATAAAAATTAATTTCAAAATGCATTTAAGAATTTCTACAGAATCTGTAAGTTTTTTTGTATAATTATAATACAAATTAAAGATTACTTATTAAACAATCAAACTTTTATTTAAAGTATTTAGTGATGACTTTTGTGGATAAAATCGATGGACAATATGTGCTGACCGGTATGTCCGGGCAGTTGATATCTGAAGCATCTAAATGGTTAAATTTTAGGTTAGATGAAAACATAAAATTATAATATTAAAAATTATTGATTAATTGTACGACCATGTTAATTTTGTGACGGTTTTGCAGTTATAGCGTTAGTCGCTCGACTGATGGCACCTGGGGTTCAAAGCGGGCCGACGGCTCCTGGACTGGGATTATTAACATGTTTATAAATAATGTACGCAATTAATACAAAAGATCTATATAAATTTTAACTTGATAATTACCTTGTTTAACAGGAAACTGATTTCTCTCCGGCACCGTTTGTTTTGATCGACGATAGGATACAAGTGTTTGATTATACGCGACAAATAGTGCGATCGCTTACATCCATATTATCGGTGGTCAATGCAAATGACAAACTACCAAATGATTTGCATTATATACTTGATGTCGATATAATAGTGTGGATACTAATTGTTTTGTCAACACTACATATTTCAATCATAAGCAGCTTATCGTTACAATTTAGTATCAAATCAATTGCCAAACATTGGTTTAATGCTATTCAAAGCTTATTACAGGGAGGTATAAATTATCATGCAACATTGTTTATATATGATAATATGATTAATTATTTGATTTATTTGGACAGAATTCACCTTCATTAACAAATCGAGAATTGCTACTTATTTATATTTATATTTATTAATGATATTAATTTTGAAAATAAATATCAACAGCTATTATGGGACACAACTAGTAATTGGACATCAGGTTAATGGCATCGATAGTATTGATGAACTAATTAAAAGTAAAAATATTTTACCATCAATTATCAAAAATTCAGCCATCAACACATATTTTAAAGTAGGTTTAACTTGGTTATTTAAATAATTGTATTTCAATCATTTAAACAATCCAATTAACAATATGATAATGACATTTACCAGAATAATTATAAAACTATTTACCAAAAAATGTTGGTCAACAACGAGTCATGTTTGGTGTCAAATGTGGCCAAAACCCCAAAAGCCCTGCAATATATACTGGACGGACGGCTCGCATATATAGACAAAATACTGGCGTTGAAGGGACTGACAGTCAAACTGTGCAATAAAAATCTTAACATTAATATAAAAGTTGCTAAAAAGCCGTTCAGAGAGTCTGTTATTGCCTACGGTTTCCGTCGAGGAATTGACTCAAAATTTAGACATAATTTTAATAAATTGTAAGCAATATTTATCCAAATTATTAATTAATTAATGATATATAAATTATTCAATTAACTAGCATTTTACAAACACAAGAACATGGTCTAATGGCCCAATGGTTTGTTATGGAGGCCAATAATTATACAACAAATGTGAATAAAACACCAAAAAGATTGTGTTTTAACAAAGCATGGAATGAGAACCATATGTCAAATGGTCTCAAAGTTACCGATAGTCTTAACATTATTGACTTTCGGTATCATTTCTATGCAGTAATGTATGGGTCGTGTGTTTCCCTGATATCATTGGTTGGCGAACTAAATAAATATAAGATATATCGCGGTATTCCTCTCATTCGATCTAGGTTTAATAATTTAATGAAATTTTAAACAAATATTTTTAACTACATATTTTTGTATCATTTAGAGTTTAATGATTTAGATTCAATGATTTTATTTGTTAACATAAACTTATCAAATAATTTAAAATAAAGTTTGGTATATATTTCAAAAGCAATCTTAGCATATTTATACAAAAATAATATTATATTATGTAAAAATTGAAAATTGGACATATTTTTGCCAGTCGATAATATATAGAAACCAAAATTATCCTATATACAATACAAAACATTATAAAAATGACAATTTTCAAACAATTGCTGTTAATTTGATTAAAACGATTATAAGATCAGAAACTATCTACACTACAAGCAATTGTTTATATAATAAATAAAAAAATTAATATTAAATAAAATAAATAAAATTAAAAATAAGTTTTATTTTAAACATAGATATTT